AAGGCAGTCGCTTAACCAACTGAGCCACCCAGGCACCTGATAACTAATTTTTTTTAAAGGGTAAAGGATTTAAGTAGACATTTCTTCAAAGGATATATATGAGGGGTCAATAAGCACTGAAAGGATGCTCAACGTCATTAATCTTTAGGGAAATGCAAATCAAAATGTTAATGAGATGCCATTTCACATCTACTAGAACGGCTACAATAAAAAAGGTGGACAATAACTAAGTATTGGTGAGGATGTGAAGAAACCGGAGTTCTTGGTAAAATGGTGCAGCCACTTTGGAATAACAGTTTGGCAGTTCTTCAAAAAGTTAAATATGGAGTTACCATATGGCCCAGCAATTCTATTCCTTGGTATATAACAAAGGGAAATGAAAATATGTGTCTACACAAAAACTTATACACAAATGTTCAAAAACAGCATTTTTCATAATAGCCAGAAAGTGGAAAAAACCCAAATGTCCAATGAATGGATAAATAAAATGTGATATATCCATACAATGGAACATTATTCAGCCATAAAAATGAAGTATTGATATATGCTACCACATGGATGAACCTTGAAAATATTACACTAAGTGAAAGCAGCCAGTCACAAAAAGCCACATGTTGTATGATTCCATTTATATGAAATTTCCAGAATAGGGACATCCATAGAGTGAGAAAGTAGATTAGTGATTGCCTAAGGCTGGGAATGGGGGCTGAGGGAGATGGATCACTAATGGCTACAGAGTTTCTTTGGGGGAATGATGAAAAGTTCCAAAATTAACCATTGTAGATTGATGGCTGTATAATTCTGTGAATATATTAAAAATTACTGAATTATAAATTATAAAAGGGTAAATTTTATGGTATGTGGATTATATTTCAAATAAAGCTATTATGAAAAAAAAGAAATTACTGTAAAAAAAAGCTATTATGAAAGAAAGTGGGTATAAAAAAGGAAAGAATAGTAAATGCAAAGCCCCTGGGACCACAGTGAAGTGTGTCTGAGGAGCAGAATGGTCAATGGGTCTGGAGAATGGGAAAAGGAAAGTCTGGTAGGGGCTGGTTCACAGAAGACTTTGATTTTATTCTAAGGTCTATTTAAGGGAGTTTAAATTCTGAGGCAGGCATTGCCATCCCAAATAGTCTTATTGTACATCACCTGCTAGGCTTCCGTCTTTTTTGAAGGCCCATGGCTCTGGCCCCTAGCTGTCTGTACCAGTTCATAAGATACAGCTCTCTGCATCAGGAGCTGGCCATGTTATGTGGCTTTTTTTTTTTTTTTTTTGAGATCTCAGGGCTTCACACATTTGAAAACTTGTGTTCTATAGCAAAAAAGCAGAAAGTGAATTATCAAAATAGTAAGTCTGGTTAATAATGAAAGTATGTATATTTCACATACTATCCAAATAAAGCCAGGAGTCAAAGGCAGCTTAAATTCGTTTAAGCAATATGTGCTCTATATGACAGTCAAGATTATGTTGGCTGACCCACAGAGGAAAGGGCCTGATGGGTGGGGTTGTGACAAGCATTGTAATACAGTATCAAACATCTTTGCAGTTGTTTGTCCCATGCTCTGTACTCTGCTGACTTGATGGCCATCGGGTCTTGTTGCCTCATCCTCACAGGAAGGCTCTCACAGTCCTTTGTCAGGGGTGAGGACCAGCCCCTTGCAGAGACAGCTGACCCCTACCTTTGCTCTTGGGTCCCTCCACACCCGTCAGAGGGAGGAAGCTGTGTTTCCTGAGAATCTTATCGATGGCGCACTCTGTTGCCAAGTCCTGTGACGCTGGTAGGACCCCTCCCAGTCCTCCCACCCCAGCACAGGAAAGGGCCCGTGCATTATTTACATTGTCTGGGTTCAGAACAGGACTAGCTTTAGTCAACAGCAAGAGCAGCAGTAGCAAGTGAGTGTGCAGAAAAAAGGACTGCTAACTGTGGGAATCATACATGAAGAGGAACCTCTCAGAATGACACCTGTGTGCTGGCTGGGACTTTCTTGCCTGGTCTCTGATTCCAACCATCAGAGGAGGTTCTCACTATGGAGAAGAACTCTGGCCACCCTTTCCTACCCTGTATTCTCTGGTCTACGTGCACTCATGTCACAATCCTCAGAGACAGGAGGAGGGTCAGGTTTTACAGACCTGGGTAGCCCCGAAAAAATTATAAAGGCTACTCAGATGTGTACAGTTTATAAAGTATATAGCACATGGATTTTCTTACTAAGTCCTAACAACAAGCCTGTGAGTTAGTCATAATAATAGCTAGAATCTCCTGAATGCCTACTCAGTGTGGATGTCATGTATATACAAATATGTATATACAAATATGTACACACACATATTTACACATATATACATGCATAAATACATGTGTGGATGTCATATATGTGTGAATATATATATACATGCATTTATACATACATATGTATGTATATATACATACTTATAATGCTCCTGCAAGGTAGATATTATTCCCATTTTACAGATGAGCAAACTTAAATAACTTGTCCAAAGTCACAGATAGTACAGGTGATGATGGAGGACTGATGACAAGATCTAATATTTTCCACCACCCTTTCTCTGTAGGAGTCAATATCTGGCAAGTATCTCATGGTTACAGAGCTCACACAAAGGGTACCCTGCATCTTTTCTATTTCACCAATTCTTCTTACTACATTCCTGGAAAGACATGGTCTGCTGGTTGTTCAAAGTCACTTTTTTGTTTATTTCATAGGTTGGATATAGTTCATTTGCATGTCTTTTCTTTTTCACAGTGCCCCTCCACTCACTGAAAAGGAAGTTGAGGTAAGTGATTCCAGTGCTTTATGAAATTTAGTGCCTGGGCTTGACTAGGTTTATTGAAAACATTCCCTTCTCTAGCCTCTGCCCCTGACAATTCTGTACGAAAACAAGAATGTGTGATTGTGGGGTAATATGGACATTGTGATCAGCCCTACTGAACTGCTGAGACTCCCATCCCAGGTAATGGAAGATTTTGGCACTTTTGGTCAGAGATGAGAAGGTAGCTGGAAATTCCACATTTCTTCAAGGATGGTTTATGCTCTTTAAAAGTATGACTTAGATACACAAAGTTAGCTGGGAGGCTGCAGAATTGAATCAAATTTATTTCAAAATTATTAACAGATGGTCAGATTTCAAGTTTTCAACTTTGGTCCAGAGGAAGAAGGTACTTTCTTTCTGAGGGTTCCAGACATAAGGAAGGTAGCTCAGCCAAGGTGGGAGGCTGTGCTGTTAGCTCACCAGCCTTCCCTGATTCCTCCATTACTCCCCTGGGGCCTCCTTGTCTCTGTAGAGATGCTATCCCAATGGGGTTGGTGAGTGAGCTGAGAGGAACTTGTCTGCATTTCATTCTGGTGAAGGGGTAGGGTAGATGGGCAAAGAGAGTGCATCCCAGGTGAGGTGGTGAGGACCTCTGACACCAGCACTAGTCTGTTTCCAAGACAATTACGTTGGAGTTAATAGAAGGAAGTAAGAACCTGGATGAGTCCAGAATCTCTCTTTACTCCAGGTTGGGAGGATAGAAGGTTTTATAGTCTTTGTAGCATGGTTTGCCACTGATAATAAGAAAATGAACATGTCCTTCCTGAGACCCAGTGGACTGGATAAGCAGAGGAAGACAATGTGAAATGTTTGCCACAGATAGTAATAATTACCTTGCACACAGATATTGCACTTACAGTTCATCACACACTCATATCCATCCTTTCAACTGATCTTCCAGCAGTTCAGAGAAATTGGTAGAGCAGGAGTTAGAACAAAGGAGGAAACCAAGTGATGAACTAATTTCCCCAAGGTCCCAGACCCAGTGCTTAGCAGAACCAACATTTAGACCCAAATATTCTAACTAAATACAGGACTCTCTCTATCACACTGCCATGAAGGGGATAACTCCGGTATAGAAAAATAAACATTGAACATTATTGATAAACTTGACTGGACTGAGGCTTGGGTAGGACAGAAAATCCCCACCCACTGACAATGGTGAAGATGGGCTATGGGCAGTTTGTTTAACGGCCAGCTCCTACCTGCAGATGTATACTGACATAATCGGTGCTCAGCATGGTGACAGGAGCACAGGCTTTGAAATCAAATAGTGTGAGGTTGAATCCTGGCTCTACTACCCCTTGTCACCTTGAACAAGTTAATGACCTCTCCGGTCTCAGTCTCCTTACCCATAAAGTGGCCACAACAGTTCCTATTGCAGAGGCTTTTTGTGGGGTTGAATGAGTCAAGGTGCACAGAACTCACAACAGTGCTAGCATACGGTAGATGCTTAATGAGGAGTAACTTCCAATGTTGCCATCAATGTTGTTATTGGGTCAGTTCAAGGCCTTTAGTTCTGTCTGGAGATGTCTACCCACTGTGGGCCATATCACATGAACTCAGGAGTTCAGACAGAGTTAGCTCACGCCAAGGGTATAAATCTGCTACCACTTGACTCAGGGCAAATGAATGGTATAAAAATGAAGGCCATTGCTTCTTCCTGTGTAGAGTCCATCTGTCTATTTCTCCTCCCCAGTAGTTTCCTATCATGCCAGGAGTTTCATGTTTGCTCAGTCCACCTTGCAAAGTTTCATTCATGCATCCTGCATTTTTGGCATGGAATATTTGTTCCAGAAAACTTCCCCTAACAGAATCATACCTGGCCTTATTTAATCTCCTGGTAGCTTCTTAAACCTGCTTTCTGTGTAGGATTCATAATACTCAGGCAAGATGCTGGTTGAAGTTTGCTTTAAGTCAACAAGGCTTACATTTTAAATGGAGTTTCTTTAAATACAGTGGTTCCATGCAAAACCTCCAAAACGCATGTGCAATAAATCTAGCATGAATCCAAACTGCTTCCATAATCAGCTATGTTGGCCTGAGTTTACCTAAACCTAAATACAGGATGCTATTTTCTTGAAATTCGGGAAAAAGCAAAGTGTCATTCTCTTATTATTTTTCAGTAAAATGCATTTGGTCTTCTGGTTCTGGAAAGGACCTAGCATGGACCTCAGGTTACTATTTCACCATCTTTTGTGTAGTTTGCTATGAAAGGAGAATTTCACTTGTACACGGCTGTTTTGGTTACTGGCTCCAGGAGCTGATGTAAAATGCTCATGCAAGAAACACACCTGTGACCTTGTTCCCTGTAATAACTCCTCCTAGCATCTCTCCTATACTCTTGTTCCCAACAGAATGTGTTTGTACAACTGTCCTTGGCCTTTAGAAATGACAGCTACACTCTGGAATCTAGAATTAACCAGGCTGAAAGGGAACGCAACCTAACAGAGGAGAACACAGAGAAGGAACTGGAAAATTTCAAAGCTTCCATTACGGTAATTGTGGAGTCTGATGGGGGAATCCTTGGAGGAGGGACTGTCTCCTAGGGCAATGCCAGATGTCCTGCTTTTCTCAGTCACCAAGTAGAGTATCCTGACATGAGAAATCAGGCCAGATAGAGTCTTCCTCAGAGAGCTCAGAGGGACTAAGGCAGAGACCTGAAGGCCTGGTTAACTTGGGGCTGTGAATAAGGCCTCTGAGTCCTTGGAAGCTTCTCAAGAGGAGGTTGGGTGACCTGGGATAGCAAAGGGAGCTCCTTAGGAACTAGAGACCTGGATGTGATTCCCTTATTTCAGGTCAGTCAGGTATAGTGTCCACATTGGGCTTCTCCAATCCCCAGAAGAAGGTATAGCCCAGACCCTGCAGAGGCCACTCTTTTCAGCCAGGATGGGGACCAGGGCTTATCTTGTGACAGCTCAAGTCAAGTCTTGGTATGTGAGGACCCCAGCTGATGTTCCTTCTCACTTCCCAGTCCTCAGCTTCACTATGGCACCACTGTGAGCACCGAGAGACCTACCAGAAGCTGCTGGAGGATATTGCTGTCCTGCACCGCTTGGCTGCGCGCCTCTCCAGCCGAGCTGAGATGGTGGGGGCCGTCCGCCAGGTGAGCCTCCTCAGCTCCCAGCCCTCTGACTAGCTCAGCTCTGTCCACAGTAACTAGGGCAATAATGTAAGCAATGACAACTACAGATCCCACTTACTGATGGCTTCCTCTGTGCCAGACATCCTATGTACATTATTATGTTTTACTAAGAGTATTTCTGGTAGACCTCTAAACCCTTGGGGTGTTTCTTGGAAAAAGCTTTCTGTGAACATGTAAGTTTGGGAACTGCTATGTACTACCTTCCTTTCTTGGAGATTTCTAATACATACTGGCACCATCAAGGCTTTGAGAAATCTTATAGTGAAGAAGCCTATTTAAAACTACCTGTGTGTTTCCTAAATTTACTTGACTGAAGAACCATAAAATACCTATTTTCTCATATAATACCTATTCAACTCCCATGGAACTAGTATTTAGCAGACATGCTTTTAGGAAAAACTGCTTTGTTTCATTTAATCCTCCCAGCAACCCTGTAAAGTAAATATCTTTTCCCCACAATGAAGACATGAAGCTTCAGAAAGGTAATAGCACTAGTAAGTGGCAGAGCTGGGGTGCAGGCCCAGGTTTGGCTCCCTCTCAGCCACTTTGAAGTCCTAAAGCACACAGGGCACCGCCCTGATCCAGGATAGTGTCATGAGCTCACACTGCCTGAGGCCTAATCATGGCTCCACCAGGATTCACTGTGTGACCTCAGGCCAGTTATTGAGCTCTCTGTGTTCCAACTTCTCCAACCAATGCGGATGATGATAGTGTCTGTCATATAGGCTTACCATAATATTTGCAAAGCACCTAGATGTTATTATCACTGCTGCTAGGACCGTGCTCGCTTGTTATGCTGCATTGGTTGCATCAGCAGGGTGTTCCTGGGACAGAGCCTAGAGCAGTTCTTGGAGAATGAAGGAAGGACAAACCACTGGGCTGTCCCACCCCTGTGTTCTTCCGGGGAAAGGGCACTGACTCAGCAGCACACCCAGGAAGTCACTCTGGCTGGGAGAAGCAACAAAGGGAGAGCTCAAGGCAAGTGGCTACCTCCAGGAAGCTTCCCTGACCCGTTCTCTCAGCAGAGATGACTTTTCTACCTCTCATCTCCTGAGGTGTTGTGGTTGTGCTTGTTCTTGTCCTCCCTGAGTGCAAGTGCCTGAAGCCCCCTCTCAGCTTACATCACAGACAGCAAACTCTTAGAGGGGAGAGTTGCATCTTTTAATTATGTCCTTTTAATTCTCCCAGCTCACAGGCTAGCTCAGAGCAAACAAGTGCCAACAAGTCTTTCCTCCAATTGCCCTGTGTGCTCATGCTCTCCTTTCCTGCAGGAAAAGCGCATGTCAAAGGCAACAGAGGTAATGATGCAGTATGTGGAGAATCTGAAGAGGACGTATGAGAAAGACCATGCAGAGCTCATGGAGTTTAAAAAACTTGCAAATCAGAATTCAAGCCGCAGCTGTGGCCCTTCTGGTAAGAAACTGGGCTTCTGCCCCCATCTTGGTCCTGCAATGTTGGTCCCTGGTGGCTGTAGGCCAGGATCACATCCATCAGTGCAGCCTGAGGAGTTCTAGTTGAGCAAGGCTCATTGTCCTGCCCAGTGCTGTCCACAGGGGCCTCACAGCAGCTGTTCTGGTGAGCCAAGGGACCTAGAACCAGGAACCATGAACAGTCCCAAAGCAACTCCTAACACAATTAACCACAGCAGTTGACCACTGATATGAAGCCATAGGCTGAAAGAGCTCACTCTACTTTATGAGAAGGACAGACCCCAGACCTTATAGTCTTTGTGCTTTGGGGCCAACACATACTAAGGAATTTGGACTTTATCCTAGAAAGCATTAGGGATCCAACCAAAGATTTTAGTCAGAGAAATGACATGTTCATATATGGAGTTTAGAACGTTCCCTCTGATTACAATGTGGCAGCTATATTAGTGGGATATAGCCAGAGACAGGGAAACCCACAAAGCTGCTATTACAATAGTCCAGGTGAGAGATGAGTCTTGGCAGTGGGGATGGCATGAGATCCTGGCTAAAGGAGATATTCCTGAGATAAATAGCAGACTCATGGGAAAGACAAATGTTTTAAAGAAATACTCTTTAAAAAATGTTCTATACAATTGCTATAGGAGCACAGAGGTGATTCTGCTTGAGGGAGTCAAGGAAGGTTTTACAGAGGGATGGCATCTGGGCAGTGTTTCAAAGTAAAAATAGGCATTCTCCAGGCAAGAGGGGGAAATATACCCCAGGTAGAGGAAACAGTGTGTACAACAATGTAGGGTTGGAATGGAAAGGCTATGAAACAAAGGATTTGATGTGGTTGGAGTGTGATGATGACAGGTTGAAGGTAAGCCTTGGTAGGCCAGGGCCATATGCCAGGTCATCCTAATAATTTGGGCCTTTGTCCTTGAGGCTATAAGGAGGCACTGGTGAGTTTATACCATCTAACATGGTCAGATTCTATTTTCAGAAGATTTTTCTGACTTCAGAGTGGGCAATACATCCGGAGACGGTAGACACTGAGGTCTAGAGAGACAGGTCAAGAGGCACTTGCAGCAATCCTGGACGAGGAGGATGATGCCTTGGACCAAGATCTCTCCTTGAGAGCCAGGGTCTAGGCTCTGGCTGATGAGGATGGTGCAAGCAGGAGAAAACAGACCTTTTAGTGACAGGAATCTCTGTGGAATGCAAACATCCGTGTTACCAAGAGCAGGAGGAGGGAAAGTATAACAGATGGAGAAACCTTTATAAACAGGAGGTTTCACAAGTTTCCTGGGGAATATCAGTGACACTTTCCAGAGTCCAAAGGCAGTGTACACATGCTCCAGACTGTCTGCTTTTGATCTTGGCAGCAAAACTCCTGACCCACATGCATCTGGGCCTATAGGAAACTAGTTTCTGTCAGTGTTGGGAGTTGGGGAAGTTGCCACCGAAGAAATCCTAATATGTGGGATCTTGCATTATTGTCCTGGAAGGTGCAAGGTCTCCTGTAAACTGCCCTATCCAAGATTTATGAAAGGAACAGTTACCCATGAGTTTCATTCATTCATTCTAAAGGCATTTATTGAGCTCCTTTGTTGTGCCCCACATGATACTAAATATAGAAGTAAAGGGCACATGGTCACTGAGATCCAAAGGAACTCCCAGCCGGTGCAGAGGGCAGAGCAGTATAACCAGCCCAGTGACAAAAGTAAGCAGATTCTTATAGGGAGCATACCGCAGAATCCCACATTCAGTCTGGGGACATGAGAAAGTGCTTATAATAAGAAGGGAGATGGTAGCTGAATCTTAAATAGTGACTAAGTGTTTTTCAGACATTTGTTCCCATTCCACTGTTTCTCAGCCTGGGCTGGTGTAGAGGGGCCAGCATCCATCTAACAGGTGTGTCCATTGTATACTCTGTGACCATTCCCTAATAATGTTGGTTTTTAAGCCTTTACATTACTTCTAGAAATCTTTGTCTATGCCTGAAACTCTGAAGACTATAGTGAAATAAAAATATCTCTGATTTAAAGAAAGTTGATACACATTTTAAAAAATCAATTTTTTTCCTGAACATGAAACATACTGACTGTCTACATCTTGGATTATTTCCTTAAGATGGATTTCTAGAAGTGTAAATACTGGCTTGGGGGAAAGAAATTTTTATAAGGCTCTTAAAGGAAACTATTTTCAAATAATCCATTGATATTTCCATTTAACGGGAAACAATAGTGCTCAGTTCATTGTGCCATTGACATTCTTGTCCTTTCCTTTAAAACTATTTTTGACTTTGATGGGCCAAGATTATCTCATCTCATAGTTTTAATTTGTATTTGTTACCTTTTCAATTTTTACTGGACCATTTGTAGTTCCACTTTTATAAATTCTCTAATTATATCTTTTGCCTGCTTGTAAGATCAGAATTTTATTCATTTGTATGAATGCTTCAACATATAAAAAATATTTTCTGGTTCTGCTATTTTGGCTGACTGGAAAACTTGAAACTCCTTGACCACAAGTACTTAGACATTTCTGCTGGATAAAATAAAGCAAACATTAGTCTAAAAGAATAGCTGAATCTGCAGGAAAAGAAATTGAAATACTCATATACAAGAAAAGAAAAGAGAACTGAAACCTGCAGCTTCCTTGGGGACACGAGTCAGCTTCAATTATCTGGGTGCTGAGCTTTTGCACTTGCATGCAATCTGAGATATCTCGGACACCTATGACAGAGAGTTGACTTTGAGACTCCCATAGAAAGTAAAGATTTTCCAAGGACTGCATCTTTAGACAGAACTTGAACAAGAAAAAAACAGTTGCCAAACAGCAGAGACACAAATCAAGGAAGTCTGTTTTACCCTGTAGTAGGAAAAATACTTTCTGCTTTCTCGTAGGAAAAATATATGCCATGACAGAAGTTGTGGTGCAATATGCAGAGAATCTGAAAAGAACATCACAATAATGTCTGCAGGAACACTGTCAGAAACAAACATAAAGCCACTCTGGAGAGGCACATCCTTCACCCAGGACACACAAGATTCCTCTAACTGAAGCTTCATTAAAGATGATTTTACAGTATAAAATTATAAAATACACAAGAAAACAATCCACCTTGAACAACAATCATCAGACACACTAAACAATAGGATTATATCCTAAGGATTGCAGAAAATAAAACAATCTGATACTTTTTTAAAAAACATAAAGGTATGTTTAAAAATTATTAGAGACATCAAACAATGAATCAAAAACATGAGAATAAAATACAATTATCAAAAAAAGAGTAAAATAGAACTAGAAATGAGGAACAGAATCATGGAAATCAAAAACTCAGTAGTTTAGGTGTGGTAAGTACTATAGTGGTGGTAGTTACTCTAGTGGAGATTCCAGATTTTCTCCTTTTGGACACACTTCTCCATTCCCTTGAAGTTAGGTGATGCCATGTGATTTGGCAAATAAAATGTGAGCAGAAGGACATGTGTCACCTTTGAGTTGAGGCCTTTAAGAAACTAGTGTGCAGGGGTGCCCGGATGGCTCAGTCGGTTAAGTTCTGCCTTTGGCTAGGGTCATGATCCCAGGGTCCTGGGCCCCGCACTGGGCTCCCTGCTCAGCAGCGAGTCTCCTTCTCCTTCTCCCTCTGCCGCCCCCCTGCTTGTGCTCTCCCTCTCTCTCTCAAATAAATAAATAAAATCTTAAAAAAAAAAAGAAACTAGTATGCAATTTACCCCATGTTTCTTCCTCCTCACATGACAATCATCACTGCTCCAGAATAGTAGAAGCTCCATTAATATGACTCCAGAGTGAGGAAATGCAGAGCAGAGCCTGCTGCCAACTCAGAAGCAAATGGACATGTAACATAAGGAAGAAATAAATCTTTATTGTTATAAGTGACTAAAACTTTGGGGTTGTTTATTATGGTAGCGTAACCTAGCTTATTGGTACAACATGTAAATCAGATTGGGCACAGTTGAGGAAAAAAATTAGTTAACTGAAGACAGATTTGAGGAAGTTGCCCACAATGCAGTTCAGAGCGATAAATTGATTAAAAATATGAAAGAGGGTGCCTGGGTGGCTTAGTTATTGGGCGTCTGCCTTCGGCTCGGGTCATGATCCTGGGACCCTGGGATCGGGCCCTGCACTGGGCTTCCTGCTCAGCCGGAGGCCTGCTTCTCCCTCTCCCACTCCCCCTGCTTGTATTCCCTCTCTTGCTGTCTCTCTCTCTGTCAAATAAATAAAATCTTAAAAAAAGTTAAAAAAATAAAAATATGAAAGAAATGTTGTATTATAAGATATGGGACACAGAGTATAAAATGAGAAAGTTCCAAATACATTTATTAGCAGATCCACAAGAGGAGAAAGGGAGAGAGAAAATATTCAAAAAGATTTTCCAGAATCTGAGAATTTCCCAGAACTAAAGAAAGACATGAATCATTGGATTCAGAAAGAACAGTGAATTCCAAGAAGAAATAAAAACACATCGAAGATGAACTGAAAATTTTAAAAGTAACCAGAGAGAGAAGAGAGAGGATTTACAAAAGACTGACAATTCTCAATAGCAATAGTGGTACCAAAAGACAATGAAGTGAGGTAGGGGAATGGGGTAACTGGGTGATGGACATTAAGGAGGGCACATGATATAATGAGCACTGGGTATTATATAAGACTGATGAATCACTGAACTCTACCTCTGAAACTAATAATACACTATATGTTAATTGAATTTAAAAAAAAGACAATGAAGTTAAAGTCTTCAAAGAGCTGAGAAAAAATAACTATCACCCTGGAGAAAATATAACCAGCTAAACTGATACAAGCTTGAAAGCTAGGTGAAGATATCTTGAGACAACAACTGAGAAAGTTTACCTCTCACAGATCCTTGCCAAAAGAAAAGTAAGGATGTACTTAGGGAAAAACAAAATTAAGATAAAAAAAAGAAGTAGGATGCAAGAAGGAATGGTGATCAGACATTTGTAAATGTGGGTAAATCTAAACAAGTATTTATTATATAAAACAACAGTTATAATAATATCAGATTACAAATACAAAGTAAAACAAAAATACTGAAAAGCAATGTAATTTAGATTCAAGGGAGTTATTGTTTTAAGGTTTCATTAGGAAAAGAATAGAAATCTTGATTAATTTAAAATTTAAAGTCACATAATATGTTACAAATTTAAGTGGGCACATTAAAGATTCGAACTAAAATGTATAACTTCTAAACCAATGTGCAGGGTGGGAAGGGTGGGAAGGAAAAAAAATCAATGAAGTGAGGTAAATAGAAAAACAGGGAAAATACATGGATAGGAGGGATAAACAGATATACAAGCTAAATGATATTGGTCAAACTGAAACTGAAATTGAGCTTTTAAAAACCTTTCTCTGTACATATTGGTGTTTTCTGGTGGCAGTATTATCCAGGTGTGGTGCAAAACATTTTATATAAATTATATCATTTAATGTATGCACTAAGGACTTGAAAATCCTGGGGTGCTGGTTTCCTTTGTTCCAAATTGTTTTATAGATGACGTACTGTAACCACTCTGCCAACAAGTTTGCATTCTTTACTGATACCACACCTTCCTTGCTCATAATTTCCCTGAGTGTTCATCTCTTAAATGAGCAAGAAATGACCCAATAAGCCTCGGTATTGCTACAAGTAGTTTTTCACACACTCTCCAGGGCATTACCAGAGACTGTGCAGTGTGTCAGGTATATATCAGAGGCCCAAGATGGGTTTCTCATATTGCCCAGAGGAGTTAAGATAAAAGTTATGTCCAGAAAAGCCCCACTCTGCAGATAATTGTCTCAGGGGGTAGTGTCAAACTTAGTGTTCCCAACACCTAGGCTCTTGGGCTATCCCTTGAGGGCCAGTTCTGACCAATCAATACCTCAGCTTAGTTTCAGGCTATCCATTTTCTGCTGGAGACTACTCTGAAAATTTACCTGAGTTCTCTTCTCTGTTCCCTCTTGCTGCAGAAGACGGGGTCCCTCGAACAGCGCGGTCCATGTCCCTCACACTGGGAAAGGTATGCATGTTCAAGGAATACCAGGATTCCTGGGGGATTACAACAGAAGTTTCCATAGTCACCAGAAAGTCATTCATGCTTGAATCCACAGGTGCCAGAGAACCTCTGGACAGAGTCTCTAATTCAGCTTACCACACTTGTTAGTTTGTCCTTCAGCCTTCCCTTCCTCATGGTTTCCCTGGTTAGACCATCCCCCAAATGAACATGGAATGATGCATAAACCTTGGTATTCCTATCCTTTTCATATACTTTCCAGGGTGTTACCCAGAGACTGGGGGTCATTTCTGTTCCATTTCTTTAGGATATAAGCTAAAATAAGAACATGTTGAGAAATCACTCACCACTAAGAGAAAACTTGGGTCAACTTTGGCCACTCTTTCCAAACCAACCCTCAACACCATCAATACCCCAAAGCGAAAATACCCAATGAATGTAATTACAGCATCCGGAACTAGTAGGCCATTTTCCAGGCCTTTCTGAACTGTGGGTGCTGCTCCCTCCCTGACAGTGGGCCTGGTCACATCTCTTCCCACAGAACATGCCCCGCCGGAGAGTCAGTGTTGCAGTGGTTCCCAAGTTTAATGCCCTGAACATGGCCGGCCAAACTCCCAGCTCATCACCCATCCCCTCCTTACCAGCCCTGGTGAGTATGATGATGCCTACCTCCCAGCCCTTTTCAACCTCTCCCTCAGGCTCAGGACTATGGGGGTGACCTAGGTGAGGGCAGGGTCAACAAGGAAAGGAAATTCCCAGCACAGATTTTGGAGTATGGGCTCAAAAAAGCTCAATATAGACCAGGCCCCATGTCTTCCACTGCCCTGAGAAGAAGACTCAGTATCCTTGAGCAAGGTGCTGGCAGCTCAAAGAGTGTTCTTTGAAAATGATACTCTTCCCATGCTTAAACCACAATCCTCCAAGGTGGGTATAGTGTTTTTTTCCACTTTGCAATGGATTTAAATACCTGAAGGTTGCATTGTGTAGTAAGTAGTAGGGCTGAGCTTTTAACCCTAGGCTTTCTGATTCCAGGGCCTGGGTTTGAGAAGAAACTACCAGACTGCCCATTAATAAAAGATTGGTTAAATATAGACAGCCCTAAAAAGGAATTTCTGTGCAGTTGTTAAAAGTAACATGAAGGGCGCCTGGGTGGCTCAGTTGGTTAAGCGACTGCCTTCAGCTCAGGTCATGATCCCAGGGTCCTGGGATCGAGTCCCGCATCGGGCTCCCTGCTCTGCGGGGAGCCTGCTTCTCCCTCTCCCACTTCCCCTGCTTGTGTTCCCTCTCTCGCTGTGTCTCTCTCTGTCAAATAAATAAATAAAATCTTTAAAAAAAAAAAAAAAAGTAACATGAAAAATGTCCATAATAAAAGGAATTAAAAACAGTATATGCAGTAGAATTCTTTTTTGTAGGGTTTTTTTGTTTTTTTTTAAGAGTATTTTTCTATGTGTAGACATAGCAGATTCTGGAAGAATATATGTAAAACTATTAATGGATACCCTGGGCAATGGTAAAACCACAGGTGATTTTTATTTTCTTCCTGATGCCTTTTTATATTTCTATAATAAGAATCTATTGCTAATAATCAGAAAAAAAATTCATTTCAATTATTTTAAACATACACAGTTCCTATATAACAAAATATTTTCTACATCCCAGGCTTTTGTGGATCTAGTTAATATTATTTAAAACTTTTCTAATTCTTGGGGCGCCTGGGTGGCTCAGTTGGTTGGGCGACTGCCTTCGGCTCGGGTCATGATCCTGGAGTCCCGGAATCGAGTCCCACATCGGGCTCCCTGCTCAGCGGGGAGCCTGCTTCTCCCTCTGACCCTCCCCCCTCTCATGTGCTCTCTGTCTCTCTCATTCTCTCTGTCTCAAATAAATAAATAAAATCTTTAAAAAAAAAAAAAAAACTTTTCTAATTCTTTCTTCAGTTGCTTCTCTGTTCTGTGTTCATGACCAGCACTACTTTATAAGGCAATCTGACTGTGTAAGCAATAGGTAAAGTAGATTCAAGCTCTACTGTGCCAGTATGGAGCAATAGCTTCTTTCACCTCTTTTTCAATCATCTATGAAATTATCCTAAACTCCCAAATCACTCACTAAAACAACCTAAAAAATTTTTTTGTTTAAAGGAGCTTAGGGAGGTCTAGCTAGTGTGTTTAATGGACCTATTTCCAATACTATACTAAATGTAAGAATATTATTTCCAAATATGCAGTTGGCCTTTGAACAATGCAGGGGTTGGGGGCACCCACCCCACACAGTTGAAAATCTGCTTATAAGTTTTGAGTCCCTAAAAACTACTGATGATCGGAAGCCTTACCAATAACATAAATAGTCAATTAACACATATTTTGCATGTTATATGTATTATATACTGTATTCTTATAATAAAGTAAGCTAGAGAAAAGAAAATGTTAAGAAAATCATTAGGAAGAGAAAATACATTTATAGTATTGTACTGTATTTAAAATCCATATATAAGTAGACCTGCCCAGTTCAAACCCATGTTGTTCAAGGGTCAACTGTATATTCCTTCAGACTAAAAGTTGGCAACCAGGAATATGCATTAAAATCACACAAGGTACTTCTAAAACATTGCCCAGGCTTCACCCGAAGATTCTGAATTGGATCAGTACTTTAAATCTTCCCCAGTGATTCTAAGATGCAGCCAGAATTGAGAACCATTTCTTAAACCAAATCTGTTGTAACAAAACAATGAGGTAGTCCTGGGGGGTTTTAGTAATGACAGGCATCTCCTGAGTATTATGCTTGGAGCTATATCCCCGGGGCAGAGAGGGCCTCTGTTTGCTAGGAGGCCTGCTGGTATTTAGTCCAAGTCAGTAAACCTGAGAAAAAGGAAAAACTGAGGCTCTGCTCCAGAATGGGGCCTCAAAATGTAAATTCTTCACTCAGGGGAATTTAGGAGAAGGAAAAGGTGCAAGTTGCATGAGCCTCAGGGGGCACTAAGGAATGGAGGACAGGAAAGGCCCAACGCCTGGGTTCAGATGCAGATCAGAAAGCATGGTGGTGGGGGAAGAGCTGGGACAGCAGCAGCCCCTTCCCCACATCATCAAAGATGTAGCAGCTCTGGCTTCTTCCTTCCTAGCTGATCTTCAATTGTCTGTCTCCTGTTTTTCATCCAGTCAGAATCACCCAATGGGAAAGGCAACCTACCTGTCACCTCAGCACTGCCTGCACTTTTGGAAGAGTAAGTTTGTTGATCTTCCTCTTAACTCTGGGGATCTCTGAGAAAATTTTCCCTAACTCACCTTTCCTCCCACCCTCACTCCCAAAATGTGATGGAAAGCAAATTAAGTTCTAAGGAAAGTACATGGGACTTTGAGACCCACAAAGATTTCAGAGTCAGTTTGCAATCTGGACCAGGAAGATGCTGTGGCTGAGTCCAAGTACCTCAATCTCAGAAGAGCCCAGAGAAGAGAGACACCTTTTCTCTTGGTTAGGGTTCTTTGGGCTACAGATACAAGAAAGCCCCAACCGGAAGGGGCTTAAATAGTAAGTCCAACGTGAGGTAGAGTGTGGGATGGGAGCAGAGGGTGTACAGAGGTAGGGATTTTCCAGGTATAGTACAGCAGGGCCCCAGCTCAGCCTCTACAATTTCCTTGCTTGCTTCTGCCCACTTTGTACATTGACTTTATCAGCAGGCTTGTGGCAAATGCTACTATTTTCAAGTATTCATCCAGACATGAAGTATTTAGAAGAAGAGGACTATCTCTTTCCATGCTTCTTTTTTATGAACAAACCCAGAAACTTTTTTTTTATTTTATGACCAAACCCAGAAACTTTTTTTTTTTTAGTCTTCCTTATCTTGTTAGTAAATCTGGAACATAGTTCCTTTCTAAACCAAACACAGGCTTTGGGAATAGGATTGTCATCATGGGTTTAAACCGTGCCCTGGAGATGGGGACAGAGAGTCAGCTTCCCATGAAGCAAAGTGGCTCTGTGAAGAAGAGTAAATTTCTGAGCAAAATCACATTGCTGTGAAGAAACAGGTAGGAGGATTGAGTACTGGAGTGGCAATGAATAGTGTCTGCCATGCCTAATTTTTCCAGGCATCTATGCAATTTGCTGGTCTTTTCATCCTCAGCCAGAGCAAGGCAGGCTGTTTTTACACTCAGAAGAGTTTATAACTTGCTTTTCAAATTCTTTCATTTGCTTGCTGGAAAACATCTGGATCACAGCTGTCACCTCTCAGAACTTTCACCTTGTGTCTTTTCTCACTTGGTAGAATATACACCTTTATTCTTCCTTCTTCTTTGCCTTAAGACAGCTTTAGTCCTTCATTTTTCATTGCTGTTAGAATAGTTTTGCTTGACCTGACTAGGAAAGTCTATGTTGGGTCCCTTTTCAGTACAGACAAGCTCCCAAGCTCCCCACCCCCCAGACTCAGCCTGTTTTACTCACCTCTCAGTATATGTAACCACTAATCTATCATTCAATGACTCACCCACTTTAGTCTTGAAGTTTGTCCACGAATTCCTTACTTTGACACCTCACCCTCTGTAAGCGTACAGGTCCTTCATGTTGTGTAGGGCATTTTTGTTTCTATCTTTGTTTCCTTATTTTCTAGATCATTACAAAGAAATTGTAAAGGGGTGACAAACTAACAATGATGTGGAAGTAACCAAGGTTACAAAGACATATCAAGTCCCTAGAGTCATAATATTTACTCCACGATCTCTGAATCTCTCCAGAAATGGTTACTTGATGCCCTGAGTGAGAAGACACTAAAATTCCCCCTTCCAATCCTGCCTTTGGGTGCACGAACCTCTTCTCCAAAAGGGCCCCCAACAAGGCCCCATTCTCTATTCTTGGCCTATAGAACCAATCAAGGAAAAAGATCTATGTCTTCACTCTTTGAAAAAGACTCTAATCACGATGGAGCAGGGCTTGGACTCTGTAGAACTATTGCTCATGTCAGCTGACAGCTTCCATCTGAGGCAATGGAGATCATCAAGAACTTGAGCTATCCTTGGTAAGAGAAAGTGAGATACAAAATTAAGAGCAGCAAACATTGACCCCAAATCAGAAGCAACAATGAATGAGGATCAATAGTGGCATCACCATTCCAAGAGTTTAGAACCAGGAGAGACAGGGACAGAGTGGGGATTGAGACAAGTTAAGCAATAAGTTTAAGGAAGGTATCTGTAGCTCACTCTTTTCTACCCAGAGAGACTACCATGATTTTTTACCCATGCTGTGGCTGACTTGCCTATTGGGAATATACCCAGCCTATAAAGATGGCTGCAAAAAGGGGAGGACATATTCAAAAGAGGAGGGATTCTAACACTAACAGTAGCTTCCCCCTCCTGGATTTATGAAAGGTGCTAAGTGATTTCCATCTGAATTCATGAAACTGGAAATATTAATAGATTGCCAAGAGGCTAACATTGAGACAATCTGTGAATTAAAATAAATTCCTATCTTCTGTTTCAACACAAGTACAGTCAATTCTAGCTACCTTCTCCATATTGTTAAAGAGAAAAAAATGCATTATAAGTTAATATACATTGCTTTCTCGATTGTTATATTTAGCTTGATTTAAAGTGATTTCACATTTCCCTAAGTATACAGTGACCAGGCAGGAAGGGAATTGGCTAAGCATGTGAAAGATGATAAGAAGATCAAATTACCTGTGGCGAGTTCTCAAGCAAATACCTGAGAGCTGATTGCACTGCCCAATGTGATTTGAGAGAATTCTGAGTGTTGCTATTGTAGGTCACTTCATAGTAAATTGTTCTTCACTCAGGGAAGGTCTAGGGATATGCAGAATTAGAAGAAAATACACATAGGAATATTTAAAGTTAATCTTAAAGATTAAAACAGAATAAAGCTCATGATGAGTTCCATAAATAGGAAAAGCTATTTATAGACTTATTCTTTCATTCTTTTGACAATTAATCACCAAGGTCTAGGTTTCTAGAATACACTCAGGAGTTCACAGTCTAATGGAAAAGGCAGATGGGAAACAGCCTATTATAATACAATGTGATGGATGATATCTTAAGGAAGTACAGGTTGCTAAGGCAACAGTAGACAAGAAAATGAGCACCTTAACCCAGATTTGGTATAGGTGGGGAGGGGTGCCTCAGAAAATGTTTCCTCTAGGAATTTACTTTTAAAGTGAAACCTGAGGGACGCCTGGGTGGCTCAGTCGGTTAAGCATCTGCCTTCGGCTCAGGTCATGATACCAGGGTCTTGGGATCAAATCCTGCATTGGGCTCCCTGCTCAGTGGGAAGCCTGCTTCTCCCTCTGCCTGCCGCTCCCTCTGCTTGTGCTCTCTGTCTCTCTCTCTGACAAATAAATAAATACAATCTTTAAAAATAAATAAAAATAAAGTGAAACCTGAAAGTTATATAGTGAACTGGAGGTTAACAACATTCCAGACTCTGAAGTGAGAAAGTATGGAGTAGTTAAGAAATAATAAGATGATGGTGATAGGGGTGCCTGGGTGGCTCAGTCATTAAGCGTCTGCCTTTGGCCTCAGGTCATGATCCCAAGGTCCTGGGATCAAGCCCCGCATCGGGCTCCCTGCTCAGCAGGAAGCCTGCTTCTCCCTCTCCCACTCCCTCTGCTTGTGTTCCCTCTCTTGCTGTGTCTCTCTCTCTGTCAAATAAATAAATAAAAAATCTAAAAAAAAAAAAATGATGGTGATAATTACTATTATTTACAGCATGCTTACTTTATGCCAAGTCCTGTTCTAATTGCTTTACATTAATGATCTCATTTAATCCTTACAATACACCCATGAGGTAGGTATTAATATCAATATTAACTATTAATATTAACTACTAATATCCCTATTTTATAATATGTGGAAATAAACTCAGAGAAATCACTTGCCTGATGTTACACAGTAGTAGATAACAGAACTCATGCTCTTAACCTCTTAATAGACACTCCAACTAGAAGAATGAAAAGAAGTGCAGTATGACTGGAGAAAAGAGGATGCATTTAAGGGCTATTTTTATAAGAAGTCTTTTTTTAAAAGATTTTATTTATTTATTCATGAGAGAGAGAGAGAGGCAGAGGCACAGGGAGAAGCAGGCTCTGTGCAGAGCAGGGAGCCCAATGTGGGACTTGATCCCAGGACGCTGGGATCATGACCTGAGCTGACGGTAGATGCTTAACCAACTGAGCCACCCAGGAACCCATGAAGTCTTGTGAGCTATTTTGAATGACCTGGTGACTGGCTGGGCGTGAAGTAGAGCATGGGATGGGAGCAGAGGGTGTACACAGAGCAGTTCACTGAGTGATTAGCAAAGCCATGGATGTGAATGATGCACGGAATTAGTTTCATAAAAGGGGCAATTATAATGATATATCACAGAGAAATTTTCACTATAATCTCTAAAATAACCATTTTTCTACATTTTTGAAGCAGCCAGGGTAAATTGCCTAAAGGTTTTGTATGACATCAAATATGTATAGCGAACTCCCCTTTGCTGATAATATTCTGAAATGAATTAGCCCTCCATCAACTAGTAGTGTACCCCAGGAATCTTAGATTGAGTAACAGGAGTAAGGAAGGTCTTCTAGCTCAGTTCCCCTAGGCTGGGCTTGTCTGAGGTGATCAAGACATCACTGAACCCAAAAAGGTAAGATCTGCCCACTGGAAAGAATTGCAGTCACTTTCAAATATTGTTTACCACATGGAAAAAAAATAGACTCTAACATAACTCCCAGTTAAACAATACATTTTGACTGAAGGACCCCTCACATTACTGAGAACTAAGCACAATGACAAACAATTTTGACCCGGTGGACCTGAGAAAACAATGAACCTAATTTTAATGAATCATCCCAGAAAGAAAGCACGCAAGATTTCAGGCTGGGAATAGATGCCAAGATCCATCTGTGTTTGGCCCAGAAGTCTCCAGGGTGGGCACAGGCTGTGCTCAGCTCCACGTTTACAGGCATGAATAGAGATTCCTTCAGCTCAACCCAAACACTGGGTTATCAGGAAATAGCCATTTACAGAAAGGACCTGCCCACTTTACAAGATTAATAGGCAGACTGGATAAGCCACAGTGAAGTCAGTGTAACTCAACAAACACTTAAAGGCACTTACTGTATGCTAAGCAAAATTGTAATTCAAGCACAGTCTCTCTCTCTCTCTCTGTGATCACAGTCATATGGAGGAATGGATAGGTATATAAAACATAAAAATGCCCTCTCTCTGAGTTCTGCTGTAACAGAGGCGCAATGAGGACATGAGTGAAGGAGAAATCAACTTTAACCAGAAGGTGTGGGAGAGGGGAAAACACTGGGAAAGATTCCACAGAGGAGAAGGTATTTGAGCTGAGTCTTAAAGATACACAGCAAGAAACTTCCAGGTAGTTAGAGAAGATATATAAGGAACTATTAGCTCAGTCTAGGGATCAGGAGATAACAGCAAACATTTTACATATTGTGTGTTTCCCCTACTTTCCCACCCTACTTTCAGTATTAAACCAAAGGCTGTCCCAGCCCATCTCACATTCTAAACAAGCACCCTTTAAAAAAAGCATCATAAGCCATGGCCCAGCCTAACAGCAAGAATGGCTTCATTCAGCAGATACCCTGGAACCCCACACACCACTCAGAGCCCCAGGAAAAGACTTCTACTGAAAGGGAGGGCTCAAGGAGGTGTGAAAAATGCATCTTGACATGAATTTGGAAGATCAAGGTGAGACTCCCAGCCAGGCCCACTGAGTACCAATAATGTGAACTTAGGCAAGTCACTTAATCAACCTGAGCTTGGGTTTCTCGTCTCACAGATGGGATAATATCCTGCGTGGGTGGCAATTAGTGTAGTCAAGAGCATGGGCAGGTGTCAGATTACACAGGGTCAAATCCAAACTCTACCACACACTGGTTGTGTAATCTTGGGCTGTTATTTAACCTCTCTGAGCCTTGGTTTCCTCACCTGCTAACCTGAGCACAATAGTATTACCTATCTTATGGGTCATTCATGAGTCTTAAGTGAAATCTTACCACAGAGCCTGATACATAAGATAAATGTTAGCTCTTCCTATCATTGGGAGGATCAAGTGAGGCAATGTATGTAAAAGCATGTTAAGAACTGAAGCCCCATAGGTGAGTGAGTTGGACAAGGTGATCGATATAACCTGGGACAGTTGGGCCCTGGACAGAAGATCCTTATGTTAAGGGGTCACTGAGATGGGCTTCCTGGCTGTACCAGGGAAAAGTTTTAGTCTCTAGAGAGCAGTGACCTGAGGATAGTGGAAGTTTGGGTTCCTCTGATTCTGAAGTATCACAGTAATATAAATCAAGTTCTCCTTTAAAGATATAAATAATCACCTGGTAATTTATCAGCTTGGATTTTTTTATGGATCAGGTTTGGAAGAACCTCAGATTGCTCCCCAAATTTACCAATAAATTTATTACATAAGTAATAGTGATGATGAGGAGGATAAACATCATTTGTTGAGTACTATATTCCAAAAAGTTTACTTACATTTCTTCGTTAATTTGTATACTACCATCATCAGATACATATTATTACCCTCATTTTACAGTTGAGGAATCTAAAGTTCAGGAAGTGTTAAGAATTTGCACGTATTGCAGCTGGAATTTGAACCCATGTTTGCCTCAGGCAGGTTCTTTTCCTCTACACTCCACTGTCCTTCATACATATTTGTCACTAACCTCTTAGGTTATTCAGCTATAGATAAAAGAAATTAAAAGGCTGATACCAATATTTCATTTCTAATATATAAATATATTTCATAAAAGAATTGCTTTCCCTGCCCTTGGCTGTAGCTATGTTTTTCTGCTCTGTTCCAATCATTTGGACAAATAGGAAACTGCACATTAGGCAAAGGTCACATGGAAAGGAGTAGATAATATAATTTGCAAAAGGAGAAATGTTATGAATAGCTGATATTTTTAGAGTGTTATCTTTCTTGTTCACAATGGGTTTTGGTTTCCAGCCTGATAAAATGTAAATTTTACAAGGTCTGAGGAAAACTAAGGGATGGGAAGATGAAGCCAAGAATGAGAAAATACAAGGCTCACTGGTAGAGCCCGAGAGGTTGGGGAGGGTAGCAGCTGCAGTCCTTCAGAGTCCTGGCTGAAAAGCTTTGCTCACTGTTTTGCCTTGTTTGAGGGCTCCCCCATGGCATGACTCCCAGTGGGAGTCCCAGACACCTTAGGTGGGCTGCAGGATTTATAGGGAAGGCATGACCATCAGGATACTTCCTTTAAACTCATGCTTCCGTACTTCAAATGGACTCCCAGCACTGCCTAGCCATCCTACTATGATTTTCTAGCATATTTGTTTTCCCCCTTCTCACATGACTCATTCACACCTTCCCCTCTCTTCTCAAACCTTCCTAGGCCTATTTACCTCTCACTCTTGGCATATGACCTTGTCTTCCATTTTACAGAGAAAATTTAAGCTATTAGATAGGAGCCCTCTTATCTTCTTTCACCAGATCCCCAACCCACCATCTTCATCACCTTCTTCCCTTTGTTATACTGAGAAGTTTCTGCACCTTTCTAAGGTATGTCTCTACTTCCCTTTTCAAAGAATTTTTTCCTTTGGTCATCCCCTTTCTCTCATCCCCTCTTGGGATCACTTCTATCCACATTCAAATTTTGCTTTCATCCCTTGACCCACTTCTTCAGCTACGTATCCCACAATATACTCTTCTACTTCCCTTTTCAGTCAGATTACTGTGTCTAGATCTTCCTCTTTCTTGCCCCTCATTCTTTACTAAGCCCATTCTAATCTGTCTTTGGCTCCCACCATTTCACCAAAGCTCCTCTTGACCTCCATATTATCAAATCTAATAATCTGCAGATTTCTATACTCATCTGACTTGGATTCTCAGAAGTGAACCTGTGACACAATTAACTCCTCCTTGACATGCTCTCCTCTCTTGGCTCCCAGGACTCTATATTCTCCTGGTTTTCCTCCTACCTCTCTGGCTGCTACTCCTCTGTAGTTTCTTCTCCACCTGAGCTAAAGGCAGAGATGCCCAGGGCTTGGTCCTGGGTCCTCTTCTCATATTTCTTCATACTGTCTCCCTAGACAATCTTATCCATCCCCTTGACTTTAAATGTCATATATATTCTGATGATGCCAAATGTTATCTCCAGCCTCTAGAGCTCTTCTCCAACTCAATTTGGTATATCCAACTACCTACTTGACATCTCCATCTGGATATTTCACTGGCATTGAAAATTTATCTTGTCTAAAAGTTAACTACTGCTTCATTGCCTCTTTTCAGTTCCTCAAATATCTCTGCATCTTTTGTGTCTCAGGGTCTTCCACATCTGCATTCTCCCCCTAGGATGATCTTCCCTCTGCTATAGATATGGCTGACTTTTCATCTTTCAGGTCTTTGCTCCAGTTAAACCACCTCAGAGAGATCTTTTCTAACCACTCAATCGAAGTAGATTCTCCCCTTGTTACTTTCTGCAGTGCACAGAGTTTTTCTCTTTCATAAAAGTTATCACAATTTGTAATTAACTACATATTTTTTTCTTTCCTTTTTTTGGGCATTCTCTCCTGCTAAGCTCCATGTTGGCAAAGACTATTTCTTTTATCATCTAATGTATCCCCAGTATATTACAAGGTACCTGTGACTTAGTCAGTACTCAGTATATACTTAAATGAATGAAGCAAAAGATGGACTACAGGAATGGAATGACTGACTGAACATTTGGCCCACCTCCATCTTCCTCACCTTAGTGCTATAGAGCTCCCAACAGTTGTCTGTCCACTTATAGCATCTCGTGGAATAAGAGTAAAGGTGGATTTGAGTGCATGAAGAAAAAGGGAGCTAGCACATTATTTTATGTTTGGAGGTCTAGGAAGGATTCTTGGACTACAGCCTTTATAAAATCTTGTCTCAGGGTAGAAGGATTGAAATGAACTCAGTCTAGAATGAGTTTCCTCACTTCCGAAAAGCAATCAGGCCAAAGACATGGTTCGGTTTTCAGACACCCAATGTGGCTGAAAGGACACCCTGTACTTCCCTCTTCTCACTAGTGGAAAGACAAATGGGGACCCAGATTGTGAAGCCTCTGCTCCCATGCCGACTTTGAGTTGCCTGGAGGAGATTAACCAGGAGACCAAGGCTAGGATGGAGGAAGAAGCATACAACAAGGGGTGAGTCAGACTTTGTCCACCCTGAGGTCACCTGGTAGGTCTCAGAAGATACCTTCCCACGGTCCTTTCCTGTTTCTTAGAGGATTTAAGGAAGCAACCAGTGGCCCTAGGACCTCCTCACCTCAGTAAAGAACTACATAAGAAAGGACAGTACTGGGGCGCCTGGGTGGCTCAGTTGGTTGGGCGGCTGCCTTCGGCTCAGGTCATGATCCTGGAGTCCCTGGATCGAGTCCCACATCGGGCTCCCTGCTCGGCGGGGAGTCTGCTTCTCCCTCTGACCCTTCCGACCCTCCCCCCTCTCATGCTCTCTCTCTCTCAGTCTCTCTCTCAAATAAATAAATAAATAAAAGAAAGGACAGTACTGATCCACAGGAAGGACAAGAGGAAGCAGGGTGAGAGGGTGTGGTTAGGCAATAATTAGACTGCCCTCTTTTTAGGCAGAAAGCCACCAGAATGCCACTGCCCAGAATGGTCTGGCAATAGGGCCCCTGGGTGGGTTCCTCTTGGTGGTGCCTGAGGCTTCCTGACACATGCTCAGAGGAGTGATGTTGCTCTCAACAATGCCCAGGAGCAGCTGTAACCCTACTTCCTAGAACTGCCACTGCCATCCCTTCTTTCTGTAAACTGGAGTCCCCCCAACTTCCAACTGTCCCCTTTTCTGATTGAGCTTCAATAACACCTTTGGCCCATTGTCAGTCACTAAGGGGACAGAGTACCAAGCAGGGCCCAAGCCCAGCCAGGTAGAGAAGTATTTCTGACCAGGCGTAGCATCCTGAGCTTCTTCTTTCTCCACAGCTTCTGAAGGAGACACAGCTTCCCATCGTTATAGAACCTGTGGGCTTCTGTGTGGCAGCCATGTATCCTGCAGTGGGGTTGCCCTAGCCAAACTGTGCTTGTCTTAAACATTCAGCTATAGGACAAGCAAAAAGAGTACTGATCCTGGGAGAAGGGCATCAGAAGGGTATCTCTTGGGAAGGCTATCTTTTCACCCACAACTATCTTTGATACTAAGCATGCATGGGAGTAAACACCTCCAGTGGCTTTGTAAACATTTACTGAGTACCTCTATAGGCCTAGTATGTGCCTGCCACTTCCATAAAACTTCCCAATAAGCCAATGTGATGGGTATCACCCTTCCTAGGTCAAGCTATATGCCTGGCACTTCCTCAGAACATTCCCACACCCTGTAAAATAGGGGCCACACTTTCCATTTTATAGGTGAAAAGCTGAAGTACCCAGGTTACACAGAAAGCAGATATACTGCTCTCTCCACTGAACATTTTGTAGGATAAGAACCCAGTCAGGACTCTGCATCCACACTTTTTCCCTGTCAATTTTGCCACACATTCACATATAAACAGGAAGGATGACTGAGGAGTGAGGGGAAATTGTACTGACATAAGCCACCTTGGGATTCAGTAGAGCTTCCCAGCTTTTTCCTGTTGTGTAGAACCACAGGAAGTGTTTAATTATTGGAGGTGTTCAAGTCCCCACCTCTAGGAACTCAGGAAAGGATGCTCTGTGCCTGGCCTTTCCAGACTCAATTGTTCCTTTTTGCCCTGCAGATACCAGGAAGGTCTAAAGAAGACCCAAGAGCTTCAAGACCTGAAGGAGGAGGAAGAAGAACAGAAGGGTGAATGCCCAGAAGAAGCTGAAGAGGCAGAAGAAACTGAGGAAGAGGAAAAGGACCAAAGAAGCAGGTTGGAGCCCTTGCCATTGCTGAAATGGGTCACAATTCATTTAATTGCACAATATCCCTAAAGGTGCCCACTCCAGGGCAGCAGTGGGTCTGGGGCCCAAGTGAACAGCTAACAGAAACCAAGGAGGGCACTCATGTTGAGGGAGGAGGCAGAGGAAGGAGCCAAAATAGTTAACAAGGGGATTTTGCAAGATCTGGGAGGTCAGAGGTGGTCAAGAGTGAGGCCAACAGCAATCAAGAGCTCGTGGGAGCTGAGAAACTACAAAGACCCTGACTGGAGTCCCCCCTAGCCCAGCCACAGTTAGCACATTTCCTAACTATCCCCAGGAGCCAAGAACCAAGGTCAAGGGAGCTGGCCTGAAGCCCTAGTGGGGGTTTCTTACAGGAACAGGGGCAGAGAGAACACATGGGGGTAGGGAAAACTCAACTCATTGGCAAAGGCGAGTCTCCAACAGGTTCCATGCTGACCAGATAAGCTTGGATTTTCACTTGGATTAGAAATACTTGGGCTTTTCTTTTTTAATATACTCTATATTTCAAGTGTATTTTTCCCTAAATAGGGGAAAATATATAACATGTAGATAAAGATAGTATAGATCCTGCATTTTGTCATACCTGTGCCCTCATCAGTGTCTTGGATTTTAACCATAGCCCCAATTCCATACATTCTGTCTTACTGTCACTATTAGTTTTCAATTTTGATTTTTAAAAATGTGGTTATAGAAAACTTGGAACACTTCACCAAAGTCTTTGTTTTTAGAACCCCAGGCTATCTTGGAGTCCAGTGTGGCTCCAGCCAAAATGATTGTCTAATCAGCTGCTAAACTTGAAACAGGGTATGTGTCTGTGCCTCATTGCCGGCAGACTCAAAATCACATGCATGCAGTGAATAAGGTAATAAAATGAAGATTAGATGTGAGATGGATATGCTTCAAAGCACATAGGAACAGCCAATAGAGCCCAGCTGGAGGAAGATTCAGCCAGAGTGAGAGGTCTCAGCCTACATGGGTCAATCCTAGTGTTCAAGGGAAGAGCAGTCTAGGAAAGCTGGAGAAAATGCTTCACTGTTGAAAGCAAACCTATGCTAGGATGTACCACCTCCCCTAATGAAAGAATCCCCAAGTTTTTACAATGAAAGTACAGTCCCTACTCTAAGCAGCTGGATCCTATTCTCCTTACATCGTCTCTCCTTCTTGGGGGTCCTTTGTTCTTATATTTTAGAGGTCACTAACTATCTTCTTCCCCTTTAATGCAGTCAAGCCCAGACCTGGACAACAGCCCTTTCTTTGGCTTCTTTGCATATAGCTAAGACAAGCTAGAACTTCTAACACTTCCATGTACTCAGAAAGAACAAAAGAGAACTAAACAGAATACATGGAATATAAACAGTCTAGTTTACAAAGCACAAGACTGGAATCCTTATCTAGCTAATTTGATCTCAAATTTGAGCTGCTAATCACAGTTCCCTCCTTGTGAAACCACAGGGAAAGTAAGGCTCTCTGTCCAGCTCCTGGTCCGCAGCACATAGCAATGGCTGCCTTTCACATCCATCGTCCAAAAGTATCCTCTTGGTCCTGCTGATCCTGAGAGGCCTCGTTCTCTCTCCTAACCTTTGCTTCCTCTCGGATTTACTTTTTGATCTTGAAAACATGCCTGTACCTCAGGTGATGAATACCAGACATCAGCACATAGAAGGGTCCTCGTCCTTCATTACAGGGGTGTAGCTTCCCCTTTTCAGGCCCACTACTGAGGCATCATCTTCTCCGTAACAACTGACACTGCTAACATATGAACTGCCCGCTCACAGTTATAGGGTCCCTTCCTCTGTCACCAAAGCCAGACTGGTCCTAAGAGCCTGTTGTCTTTAATGCCAGGCAATCCCTTCACTCATTCCTGAGTTCTGTAGACACACCGTTGCCTGCAGGCACCTGCACTCAAACATGATTTTCCCCATTAAATTTTGGCATTTGCCTATTTAAATCTGCTCTATGGAGTTTAGACAATATTAGGCAGATTCCTTTACTTTTCCAGTAACTCTCAGAAAGCAGAAGTCCTCTGGTCAAGTTTAAGTCCCAAAAATAATCTCATTTCATTAATTAAAATGGCCAGTTCCCTAAAATAGTCAAAAGCCTGAACTTACAAAGATCAGCCTTCTTTTTTCCTACAGTTTGTCTGCTTCAGGAAAGAAGTCTGTAGTAGGCAGGGGGAGTGTGGCTTCTTTCTCTCTATCCCACTTGCACTTCTACCCTCTCCTCCAGTTTTGCCAGTGCAGCATCTGACCTCTCTAGGATCAATGCTAGGAAAGGGAACTGAGATGAAGGGGTTGGGAAGGTATTACTTGAATAGATTGTGAGCAGGCTCCAGGGCTTGGCAGGGGTTTAAAGCTGACTTGCTGACTTTGGTTAGTGTGTTGCTTTATGGGACCTCTAGAGAAAACCACTCCTCCCATCTCCCAGCACACACACACATTCACACCATGGCTGAGGTCCTCTCAGCTGCTGGTGCCTTTATGAGATCAAATGCATGTCTTCTAGCTAGCCACTTAAAATCCCTCTCAGTCCTTGGGCAGCTGGAAGTATACCTTCACTGTTCAGCTTCTAAGTAGCATTTCTGGGCAGGATCTGTGATGCCCCATGTCAGCTCTCCTTCTCCTGACTACAATCAGTTGGGGTAAAATGTGTACGTTTGGCTCACTATTGGTAGAAGGACAGCTTTCCCTATCATGGCCTACAACTCTGATGCCATCAAGCATGTCAGCAAGATTCTTGCTCTTCCAACTGCTCATGTGTGAGGCACACACCAGTCCACTGTGTCCCCCAAACCTCAGCATATCGAGCTCTCCAAACAGCATCTCTGAAGCCCCTCTTCCCTAGGCCCAGGTGAGAAGGAAGCCACCTCACCCCTCCCTATGGGAGATCAAAAATCAAAAACTGATTTCCACAGAGATTCTAATTCCTAATCTAATTCTATTTCTAACTCTTTCATAGGCTAGAAATGGGGGACCAGTTAAGGTTCACAAAGCCAGATCTTGACCTCCTCTTCTGCAGTCCCACTTCAGAGTGGGGTGACAGTGGGATTTTCTCCACTCTAGCAGCTTGTTTTGGAGCACAGAAATACAGCCCCAAAGAAAGACTGCATTTTAGCATCCAATTATATCTAAGTAGAAACTAAAGAATCTGAACAGGGCTGAAAGAAAATAAGCTTCCATTTCCAAGCTGTCCCTTCCCAACAGTTGTGAAAATAACCAGATTTTCACCTCAGCTAAGTGCTCACTGTTTTGCTTTGCCTAACTGTTCCTGAAACAATTATCAAATGGGTCCCATATGGAAGAAAAACCAGTTGGTACCTTAGCATCTGAGGCAGGCACTCTGAGCCTCTGGTCCCTTTCCAAGGAAGGTATTGTTGAGTCTTTCCATCAGTCATAAGGCATCTTTTTTCTACTAACTAAATTAGAGCTGTCTACTTCTCAGCAAATGGCCTGCATATTGCAGTGTCTATGTGTGCCTCCAGATCTTCAGAAAGCCCTCCTGTCATTTTCCTCACCTCCTCCATTTTTAAAAATAGATGAGGGATTAGAATAATCTCAGGAAACAAACTGAGGGTTGCTGGAGTGATGGGGGACAGGAGGGATGGGGTGGCTGGGTGAGAGACATTGGGGAGGGTATGTGCTATGGTGAGTGCTGTGAATTGTGTAAGACTGATGAATCACAGACCTGTACCTCTGAAACAAATAACACATTATATGTTAAAAAAAGAAGA